TGACAAAGTAGGGTTCGTCTGTACGAAATTTGTTCAGAGAACAACTCGTCCAGGAACGATAACTGTTTCGTCTGAACGAAATTCGTCCAGAGGGCAAATCGTCCCAGGACAATTTTGGATCGTCCAGGACGATCTGCATGGATATATATGAAAATGAGATCTTTTTGAAGAGAGAAAAAGCCAAGAGAGAGAAAGTCGAAGGAAAAAGGAAGAAAAGTAATTTTTGGGCGACTTCGGTCCGTTTTCGTCTGTCGCTGTAGTTGGAAAAGTTGACCGACTCGAAGTAAGGCATATTCCGCCTTTCTCAATTTTCAAAAACGAGAATTTTGGCTACTTTTATGTCTCGGATTATATTTCCGTTAGCGAATATTTGGTTTCGTTTCGCACTGAAAAACTTTTTACCGCGTAACTTTTGGTATGTTTCTGAGATGATATTTGTGCACGTTTTGAATATTTTCTGGAAGATTTTTACAGGGTATTTGAATTTCTGTGGCGTTTTAATCGAACTACGAATTATCAGGATGTTGAAAAATGTTGCTTCAGTACATTGAAAGTCTTACAATGATGTTTTGTATTATCTGTGGTAAATTGACAAATTTCTGAATCTGTGAATTCTGTGTAAATTCCGTTATGCCGCTAACGATTTTTCTAACAAAATCTGATTTTCTGAATTGAATGGTTTGATGTGCTGTGATATCAGAAGGGAGTTATAAGGGGCCAGAATCTTTTGAGATTATGTCTGTGTCAGGGAAATCTGAAAAGAAAACAAGTTTGTTCTGAAAATTTTGTATATCTGTTCTGTTCTGGTGCTATAAGCACAAAGAGAGGCATAAGGGGTCAAAATCTGTTGAGATTCTGTCTGTGTCAGGGAAGGGAGGCATAATGGGCCAGAATCCGTTGAGATTCTGTCTGGGTCAGGGATATTTGATATATGATTCTGATGTGTGAAATGTGATTTTATCTGATTTGAAATCTGTTCTGTACGCTTCTGTTTGTTCTGTACAATTCTGTCTGTTCTGTAAAATTGACTTGATTATTCTGTTATGTAAGGTGAATTCAGTTCTTCTGTTCTGTTCAGTGGTTTGATTTCTGTTTGATCAAGTATCTGTTCTGTATGTTCTATGATTTATGTACGATTATCTGATTTCTGTACGGCTACCATTCTGATGTATTATTGGTTGTAAATTTATGGAGATTTTGATTGGCGATTGTAGTCTTGCTGAGCTGTTAGCTCATCCTTATTTTCTGCGTGGTTTTCAGGTTTTGGGAAAGTGAAGGAAGTCTTAAAATAACAGTTTTGTGTCTGATCAATGATTAAGTATTTTGTACTTTTGATTTTTATACAGTCATGGCTTTTCTATTCTATTCTGTCTGTCGGTAGCCATGCACTGTATTTTACATGATTATTTTGATGAAAGAAAAAAAAATGATAGATGAACTGTTCTATATATTTAGAAGTTATAGTAAATCTGTGTTTTCTGTTCTGTATGTCTGAAACTTGGAAGAATGTCTGAAACAAATTCCAAAACTAAATCTTGAATTTTTAACATCCGTTGCGGCCCGACGCGAAAAGATTCGTTCCGGTCGGGTTGGGTCGTGACACTCAGGGTCCCATGAATAGATTTATGATAAATATTGATGACGATGATAACATAAACACTCAGGATCTTCAGCCTCCTACTGCTACAAAAGAACTCAGGAACAGGGTTTGTTTGGATATCGCCAGATTCATCTATGAAAAAGGGATTCCATTTAATATTGTTAGGAGTCCGTCATGAATCAATATGTTACGATCTGTTGGAAGTTATGGAAAAGGATTATAACTTCCAAGCATGTATGAACTAAGAACTTGAATGTTGAATGAGGAGATAAAGATAACTTCAAAAATAGTGGATGATATTAAGAAGACTTGGATTGAGACAAAAGTCACAATAATGTCAGATGGTTGGTCAGATATTCGACATAGAATTATTATTAATATCTTGGTCAACAATCCATATGAAATAGCTTTTTTTAAATCAGTGGATGCTTCAAGTTTTGTAAAGGATGCACAATTATTGTTTGAAATGTTGGATGAAGTTATTGAGGAACTGGGTGATGCTTTAGTAGTACAAGTTGTTATTGATAATACAAGTGCATATAAAGCTGCAGAGAGAATATTAATAAAGAAGAGGCCTAACCTTTATTGGACTTCTTGTGCTGCACATTGCATTAATTTAATATTTGAGAGGTTGGGACAGCTGCCTCAGCATAAATCAGCCTTATTGAAGGCCAAATTCGTTAGTAACTTCATATACAATCATTCTTGTGTACTCAATTTGATGAGAAAATTCACTAATAAGGAAATTATTAGACATACTGTTACGAGATTTACTACTACATATTTAACATTGCAGAGATTCAAGGAGTTAAGGCAACCTTTGGAAGCTATGTTTATTTCTAAAGAATAGGATAAAAGTTTATATGCAAAAAAACAAGAAGGAAAACAGGTAAAAAAATTGTTATGAAAGATGATTCATTTTGGCGCATTACAAATTATGCTTTAAAGACAGCAACACTATTAGTTAAGATGCTTAATATGGTTGATGGTGAGAGGACCTCGGCTATGGGATTTATTTATAAAGCAATGAATAGGGCTAAAGAAGACATTGCAAAAGATTTGGGAGGTCAAGAAAGTACCTACAAAGAAATATGCGATATTATAGAAGAAAAATGGGATCATCAATTACACCAATACTTACATGCTGTTGCATATTATTTAAATCCTCAATTTCATTATGATAAAGACTTTCATGTTGATAAAGAGGTGAAAACTGGTTTGTATGCATGTATGGACAGACTCATTTCTGAAGAAGACTATCTCAAAGTGAATGATCAACTTGAGAAATTTCATTTAAAGAAGAGAATATTTGAATTTAGAGCAGCACAAGCATACTACAAAAGATGATCTCTTATTATGTTTAAAATTTATATATTTATATTCAAGTCTTCTAATTCAATCAATATTCATAAAATATTATTCATTTTTATGTAGAACGTTGGTGGAGTCAGTTTGGAGATGATGTTCCTGAATTGAAAGCTTTTGCAGTTAAAGTTTTTCATCAAACATGTTCGGCTTCTGCATGCGAGCGTAATTAGAGCATCTTCAATCAAATTCATACTAAGAGAAGAAATCGATTGGAGATAGATCAAATGTACAAACTAGTTTATATTATGTTTAACAAAAAATTGAAAGATAGGCATCTCAAATTACAGAAGCAAGGAAGAATTGATAATGAAATTGATCATTTACTTGTTGATGATTTACAATCTGATGATGAATGGGTTACTCTTAAGAATGTTAATGTTGCTGATAGTTGAAGCAGAAAGAGAAACTCATGTCAATGAAAATAATGAAACTACTCATGTATATGAAAGAAAGAAACAAAGTGAGATTGGAGCTTCAAAAAAATTCAAAGGTATTCTTAAATATAATGAATTATTTTTATGTTATTATTGTTTCATTCTAGAGCTAATGAAATAATAACAGATATAGGGGATAAAAGAAAAAATATTATAGATGAAGAAGAGTTTGAGGATGACTTCGACATTAATTATGAAGATTCTTTTGAAGACAATCAAAGTGATGATGAGTCTGTATTGGGTCTTGATCATAATGGGATGTTTTATTATTAAGTGAGTTTATTTTAAATTTTCTTTTCCAATAATATTCTAATATTATCTTAGAACAAATCATCAAATTCACAATTGATATAATATTTTATTATTTTTTGTCATTATTTTATAATTTTAAATTACTTTATTTTTATCATTTTTTAGGCTTACGCCCTGATCCGCCTCGAGGCTTACGCCTCGCCTTGCGTAGCCAAAACGCCTCGATTCTTAATTTTGCCTTTTAAAACGTTGGTCAGCATCTGCATACCCTGCATACATAGGCATCTTGGACTCAAAACCAAGCTATAAGCCCTACTTTCTAAATAAAACAGCCTTCCACTCTTCATGTGCATTGAGACCAAGAATATGGTTTTAAAAACGGTTAGAAGGGTCAAGTTGGTAGTCCTTTCTAGGCATGACAATAAATCAAGGGGTCAGGCTGGCTATGCTCATGTGAGATGTAGCTTATAAGTCTATTTTACATTTTGTTATACTTAGATTCGAGGCACTACCTCTCGGTAGTCCTCACCTTAATTTTAAGATCTAAGGCAATGGTCGATTCCAATCATCATGCAAGTCTTCAATTTCCGAGCAATTCCTCCAACATATGTTGTTGGAATGTAAGCTTCAACTTTCTAATGAAAATATCAACTTAAACAAAAATTAGATTTCTAAAATATAAAACTCAACATAGGATAGTTTGAGTACCTCTGAGTTTCCCTCATAATCAAGTACTCCTACACCTCTTTCCTTTGGCCCTCATTCTAAGAAATATGATTATAAGTTGATCCTTTCACCCCTTAAAATTCCTAAAGGCCAAAATCTGTAAACAAAAATTTCGTGGATTCATTAAAAAAAAAAATCAAAATTTAGTCAATATCTAAATGATTCCCAAAAGAAAAGAAAACCACTAGTTTAATCAAAAGTATTCTCAAGCACCAAAGCTTGAGATGTAATTAACCATAGGGGTTTGCCCCTATGGGACGTCTGTACCACAAATAAATAAACCTCATTCAACCAAACATTGAATGGGGAATCTCTGTTTAAAATTATAAATTTTATCATTAAGTCCATAAAAAAATGATATTTTTATCCTTCGGGGTAATATATCATCATTTTTTTATGTCGTACTCAATCATAAAGTGTGCAATCCGTTTGAGGATAACAAAATTCTTCAACAACAACCCCTAAAAGAATTTCAATCCGCAGCTAGCAAATCAATTTCAAAACCATCTAAAATAATAATAAATTACATTCAAGAAGTATGTGGTCACTATCATATTTCATAACAAAAAATATGAAAACACTAGATTTCAGAAAACAGATCGAACTAGTATTCAGCTTACCTGAACCGCACAGCCTTGTCTCCTCGCAACATGGTCCATCCTTTTCACATCCTTGAACCAATCAATTGCTACAAGCTTCATAAAAGGCTTGCCTGCAGGTACCTAAAAGACAACAAATTCCATGATCAAAAGAAGCTGTAAAAGGCACTTCTAAGCTCAAGACCAAAAAACAACAATTTTATTCAATATGGTTATTAATGACCTTTGTTTTGTCATAACAGAACGTCTTGCTACGGACTTTGAAGTTGTTTCCATCAAGCATTCTCCAACAATCTCGGATATTATCACGATCATCATGTCGTAAATTGCCAGAAAAGGATGACAAATCAAGCTGATCCAATGGATCCTCATCTGGACATATCATCGAAATAATCGCATTATAGACATTCTTTCAAGTGCTTCTGCCTAATGGCATAACCACATCAGGATATCTCACGAACCTGGTTGCTTCATAACATTCTCAGCATCGACAGAGTCCATCTACCAAAAGCAAGGTATAAATTTTCACTCATGCAGATATAAAGTTTCACTCATGCAGATAGGATTTGAAGAAAAAAAATATGCATTACACATATAAGAAGTCTACCAACCATTTCTTCAGGTTCCAGAGTCAGGCAATCTTCATACTCATCTGATTCTTCATCCAAAGAAATTGACTGATTAAAGTTATCATGGCTTTCCCCTCCCATCTTGGAAGAAACTGAACCTGAAGATATGCTCATCATAACTGGCATATTTGGAACTGTGTGGGTTTCATCCGCTTGGGCAAACCATTCACGCAAACCTGCGGAAGAAGGAACAAAATTTGAAATGAAAAAAAGAGTAATCATTATGACGTTCACGAACAAATACATCTACTGCTAAGGCGCAGAAAAATAAACATCCTTCTAAGAATTAGAGTATTGAAGGTACTTGAGCGACTTAGAAGTAACAAAAGTAAATTAAAAAAAAATTAAAATAATCATGCTAAAGACCACAATTGTAGTTTTTGATTAATTATATTATAAGTTTAAACTACCAAATTGAGCTACTAGTGAAGAAGAGGAGCACCAGCTACACTGTTCAACATCTGAATCAAACAAAGTTGCTGAAATGATGGAAAATAACCAACACCCCATCCTTTTAAATCAATTTGAAGGAGATGTTCAACTTCTGTTCGAGTTCTCCCATCACGGGATTTTAGAGGAGAAATCTTGAATCCACCACCTACACACAAAGGAGAAGCTAAGCATTTGTAGGTATTATTACAAATTACAGTTTCAAGGACATCTTAATTTTGCTCAATGCCCTTAACATCAGATTATGGAGCGGAAAATGAAAGGTACTCTCAATATGGGCCCTGACAAATCCTGGTTGTGCACTGCAATTTGGATGCTCCATAGACCGAAAAAGCACAACTGCATAAACGAGCAACAGAGCATTTACACTAGATGGATGTGCCAAAGGGAGAAAATGGAAGAGGTAAACCAACTGAAAGTCTCACCATAGCTTCCATCATCATTACGTCTCCAATAACGCTCATAGCACAGATCACGTGGCCACAAAAGCCTACAAAATAAGTCAGTTCAGCCCAGCATAATTATTGCCATCATGTTTAAGATATCCGGTACAGCAACTATCATTTTGAAATGTAGGAGAACAATCATATTATGGTAGAGAAGTAAAGTGAATAACAAGATAGAACGTAATGAGTACCTTTAAAAATAAACCAACATCCCTTGTTTCTAAATGTGATTGTATCTTTAAAATTAAAGAAGACACAAGTGATACTACTACGAATCATTGATTTTGTACAATGAACATTCTTCCAATTTTCTCTAATGGTTGATTTGTAAAGCATACATACATAAATATGACGAGCGAACGAGCAAGCTATAGTTTAAAAATTTTACTCCAATGAAATAGTAACTTTGCCTCCATTTATATGTTCAAGGAAGTCCCTTGCTTATAAACTAAAGCCAAATGCAAAAATCCTCCATGACAACTCCCTTGTATTCTCCTAATTCCTATTTGTTAGCTACTTTATATTTTAAAGTAATTATTAAATTGGAGCCTCATAGAATCCTTTACATGCAAAATGCCTTGCTAGTGGAAAACTAGGTATAAGCTTTCTGACATTGCTAATGCTGCCGTACCCATTCTTTTACTTCTATATTCTGGCAGATCAATTTTTATATCTAAGTATTACGATTTCTTTATGCTAAAGTGGCTTTCCATCGTTGTTCCTATATACTGAAAAAGGTTCAATACTCCAGAATCAAGTCGCTAATGTGGGAGGAAATATTTTTCCAACTCTTGAACCACATGATTAAATCTGCATGTTATGCACGTAAGCTTATTTAGCATTAGCCCCACCTGCAAAATAAAATTTTGAATAGTAGGAAAGCATCATGATCAAGCATGTATATATTCTGCTTCTATAAACCATAACAAATTCTTCAGCTCCTTCACTTCTGAATATCACAAATCATCATACATCTTGACCACCCTGTCATCTTCTTTCAAATGTCAATTCCAGCTCCATTCAAGAGATGCAATCTCCAACCACAATCATAGAACCATATGCCTAAAAGTTATCCATCAAAGTTGTAACTTAAGAAAATATTCAGCTAAAAAGTTTAAGCTGAAAATGCACTTCAAATTAATGTACAGCAAACGGAGAAACACATTCAGGAGTTGCAGGAAATTGGAGAGTTTATTAGAGAAGAATAAATCTATATTGCTATGGTTTCCAATTCACAGCTAAAAAAGGAGATTTTGGCAGACCAATAATTTTATCAACCAGATCCTTTCTTTTATCAATTTTAAGATTGCACGCAAAGCATGTAATATTTCAAAGGAGTAAAAGTTAACTATAAATGCAAGAGGTCTGATTATATCAGAATTACATGCAAGTTATCATACTCAATTAGCTACAATCCTTTTTCCTAAAAAAATGTACTGGATGCTCACTCAAAGAGAAGAAAAATAATGCGCACATCAATACATAGTGCTGGCAATTATTTTTCTAATAACAGTACATAATTTAATATAATAATCATTCTTGTATTAACTTCTAAGACTTCATAAATAAAATGTGGATTTTAATTGAAATAGCTTCAACGTTTTACTTCACCTAAGCAACCCCAGCATCTCGGGCCTTAGATAGCCACATTGCCTTAAGGAAGCTTAGCGCTTTAGATGATGTCAGATACTAGATCATATGCATTCTCACAATTCAATTAAAACCCTACTGTTGACTTAAGGACAAAAAAAATATCATACAGTAAAAAAAAAAAAAGAATTCATACTCTCTCTCTCTCTCTCTCTCCTCCCTCCATTCTTCCTTCTCTTCCAACCAACTCCACCCAAACTCACGAGCCAACTACCCTAGCCACTTCCTCAGCTTGCACAACCCAATCCAGGCCAACATAACCCAACTAACTCCTCTGCCTTCCCCAACCACATGCTAGCTAGCCATCACTCGAACTTGCATCCCTAATTGCTCAACCAACTATCACCATCGTCGCCACTGTTATAACCTGAGCCCAAAAGCCCCTTTCTTTTTCACTCTCTTTCTCCCTCCTCTCTCTTTTACTTTCTCTGCCACTTTCTCCCTCTATCTTTCTCCTTCTCTTTCTTTCTCCTCCGCTCTCATCTTCCCCTCTTGCTATCTCTCTCACTTTCTCTCTACTCTCCTTCTTTCTCTCTCTAAATAGAGAGAAACTTCTCCTCCCTCCACTTCACCCTCGATCTGTCATCATCTTTCTCTCACCTCCCATTGTGCTCATCCCTTTCTTTCTCTAGAATGAGAGAGGAAAAAAAAAGTGAAAAAGAAAGAGTAAAAAAAAGAAAAAAATCAAAATTAAAAAAATATAAATTTTGATGCATACTCGCAAATCCCTCGACATTATTTTCTTGTCATTGCTATGTGCGCAATGGTACAAGCTTGCAAACACTTAAAATTTTCAAAATATCGAATGTGACACGCTAGAAGCAACAAGCAAAACTAGTAGACATGTTTCATGGCACGATAGGGGGATGCTCGTAGACAACATTCACATCATAATAGGTAAGCCCTATGCATTTTTCTTAGCACAATGGGAAAATTTTAAATATATGTCCATATCTTTCTTGACACGATAGGGAAACAGAAAATTTCAACCAAGTGCACAAAAACTCATATATACTATTCTTGGCATAGTGCGATACAAAACCCCCAACCATAGTGTCTTACGATGTTTATCATACACACCTTTTTTGGCATGATGAGAAGGCCTGAAGACAACAGGATATTGCCAAAATTTGCATTGACAAGAGACCCAAATAGAACAACATCAAAGGACCTTTGACATAAATTCAATATTAAAATAAATTAAACTAAAATTAAAATTGGGGAAAATAGAGATCATAGGTATAAGATAAGAACACAATTGAACATTAAATTGGACATATAAGACTTACAGTAGACTTGTAATGAACTCAACAACTCATCAACAACGTGAATAAAATTTGGTCGCTTCTGGAACTATCCCAAGCACTCAAGAAATTTAAGAAGAATTAAGAATGAAAATGAACTAAGGGGATTATTTATTTATAAATGGAAGAATAATTCCCGAGAGACTCACCTAACTAAAATCCAACTATAAAAGTCAACATAAAAGGGCAGTGTGAAAAATGTACTAAGATTCTAATTTACATTCTACACTAGATCCACAACACATGTAAGCAAGGGGACAAAAGGCAAAGGGCAATCAATTAAAATTTTAAAATGAAATATTGAAAGCATTTAATGATAAATACTCACAACCATATCCACAACACACTTACAAGTAGACAATGGGAAAAATAATTAACATCAAATGCAATGACGGCATATTCACATGAACAACTGTTAGAACATCTCAAACAGTTGCAATCACATAAATTACTACTATATAAGATTAATAATCAACCAATTGCACTTGCACATCATAGGTGCACGAATGTCCTAAATTACATGCACATAAATTACTAAAAAACGAGCGTGTGCACATTCCATGAACAAGCAGTACACCCCATGAACAAAAACTTTCAAAATGAGGCAAAGTGGTACACTATTGCATGTCATGTGTTGCACGTTTATTTTGACAAAGTGTGCAGGACGTGTCAAATCACCATAACCATTTTTCCACCCATTTGCTAATTACACAGTGCAAGCAAACCAGTGGACATGCAATTGCACCATGTAAGAACATCAAAAACCATGCAAGTATGCAATTGCATCACTTAAGTGCATCAAGAAACTTACAACTATGCCGTACTAATGCATCAAAAAACATACGCAATAGATTGGGCCACTGAAATCAATTTGCCCTCATATGCTCCAACCAATATACTAAACGGCAAATTTTGAGGTCTAATAATGTCGCATAAAAGTAAAGAACCAAATCTATGAGACACTATTAAAACTTGGATTATGATCAAAGCCCTTTGATTAGATAGTTTTGTTGTAAGATGACATCATTAAATTACAGTCACGACCAATAAACTTGATTTTTTTAATATAAAACATGGTATATTCTCATGTGCAAACATTATTCTTGTAAGACACTATTCCATTACTCTTTATGCTTCATTACATAAAATATAAATTTGATTTCTCATATAATAATCATAATTAGTAACATCTCCTATACTCTGAAATATTGATGTCAAAATTCTTATTCCCTGATTATTTAGCATTCTTTTAGACTTTGAAATTCATTGAATAGATATATTAATCAAACTACTCAAACATCACCCACAACTCTCCTAAATCTCAATAGGTATATCATTTGAATATATAGTTCTAGCTTCATTCATCTTCTTTAGTTTTAACTCCAGTTTTTTAAATTAAATCCCTAATACACCTCATTATTTTATTCAACCCACCCTTCCATAAAGATTTATTTCTTAGAACTCTAATTTAATAATTTCGTAAAGTAGCATTTTTCAATCTTTTTTTGATTTCTTAATATTTAACTATGATTTTTTTTTTTCAGTTTGCGTTTAATGCATCAACTTGATTAAATCTATACATATCATCTTTTGCCTTGGATATTTTATATAATCTTATTATGTCCTTCCATAATATCTAGTTTAACATTTAAATCATCAAAAGTTTTAACTTTGGAAATTAAACTAAGTAAAAAACTAGGGGTATCCAAGGGGATTGAAACAGAAATGGGAGGTTTTAAATCAATTTAAATTCGAATCAACTTAGATCACATCAATAGCACACAAGTCATTAACACCATTAAACACGAATTGGGAACCCCTTGATGGATCAGAACTTAATACTGCTTCGAAATACTGATCAGATGCTTCCATCACAGATGGTTCATACTTGATAATCTGCTTATCAGATAACTCCAAGCCACCCACAACACCATCTTCTACAGCAGGAAGCCATCGTTTCTTTTCATCTCACACCTCCACCTCCAATTCATATTCTACTGCCCAAGTTGGAACAAAAAACTAGGACGCCGAACCCTGCCATTGCAAGAAATGAGTTTATTACAACTTAAACTCAATTCACCGAAGGTTGCTTATAGGTATCAATTTCCGAATTTGTTGAATTTTGAGAAATTACAGTTATGGCAAAAAAATGAGGAAGAGACAAAAGTACAAAAATTTCCAAAGAGTAGATAATCATGAAGTAAAACAGCTTCAACTAATATCATTTATGCGCTTTAAAAGATAAAATGCACATCAAGAAAAAATTGTTCCAAAAAGAACATTAGTTAAACTTAAAACATGCATATCTGTGCACGCATATTTTGATCTCTAATCAACAATCAGCGTAGAAGAAGAAAATATAAGATGGACCAACAGAATTTGCTAATATTTGAAAGAAAGTTACGTGGAAAGCCAGCCCAGCTGCAGTCTATGATATAATATTGCAGTATGTCCATCTACCTCCTCTACTAAGCTACCATATTGGAAGCTGGAGTCCCACCTACAATATTAAGGCAGAATAATAGGATCAAATTACTTAGAGAAAAGGGAGAAAATCCCAGTGCACATCAAGGAACTTACTCAAATCGAGTTCCATCCATGCACATCACAAGTTCAAATATTGCTTCACAAGTGGCCTCCACCACACTACTAGCTTTCATTGCTCTACTACAACTTCTTGGCTATAAAAATACATATATCAAAAGATAAATTCAACCAGATTAAGTTGCCACATCATTATTATCCTTCAAAGAAAAAAAAAACTTCCTATCATTGTCAACATAATAAAACAAATGATTTCATCAATTACAAGGTAATCAGCTACCGAAAGCTCTTCCCAAATGCGAAGACCTGCATATTTTTGAAGAAATAATAACAAGCATATAACCTCTGTTGTTTAAATAAGAGCATCAAAAGATTAAGAAAAAATCTTTCCATTCTGGCAGCTGACAAGGCGCCAATGTTTTCTAGAAAAAACTTCATCTGAAGTACTCTGATTTGATAACACCGAATCACCCTGTCGTGTCAAATCACCCTGGCGTGTCGAATCAAGCATTGATTCAGGAGGGCCTGCAAGCGGGAAAAACACGAAAACATGACAATATCACACCACAAAAACTTAAAATGAAAATAAAACTAATCAAACCATACAAGTTATCCTTGCATACCATTGCCAATTGTTGTCCTACGAATCATTGTGCGGTTTGTTACTTCCTCATCCTCGGCACTTGCCCTGTATGCATAAATTTGGGTAGTATTACCAGATATTGATGCAGGACTACGTAAATGAAATGCTCTTAACTCATTTGGATTTCGGACAACTTGTGATTAGAATAATGTTAGAGCAAAGCTACTAGCGAGTTAAAACAATGAACCAAAACAAATAGTGGTTACATCCGCTTAGGCTAAATCACATGCTAAGAGTTTTGAAAACTTCCATAATATATAGAAAACAATATAATGACAAGTAGTAGCTTTCAAAGTAATCCCTATGAGAATTAGAAAACATAGAGGTGCACTCAAATCCTACGTTTACTAAGCTTTAGGATGAGCAATGAAGAGGGGTCTGTCGTGACTGCAATCAAACCAAGAAAAACTTAGACTAACAGGGATAAGATGCAAGGAGGAAGGGAAACCTTCGTCAAGGAGTGGTGGAGATCCTCCACTCGATGCCTTCGAAGTGTTCGTCGATAGCTTCCACTAACGTATCTAAGATCCGCTCCAAGTAGTCTTTGACGGTGTGATCAATCTTCGGGTTCATGTCGAAGAAAGTTGATCGAAGGATGTCGGTGAATCCGTCTGCGTCCCAAGTTATACCATATTCAGTTGTCGGATCCGCCATTCATGGATGCTTGAAGTAAATCTTCTTAGCACTTGGTAGGGCCCTTGAATTCAAGTGAAGAGAAAGAAGTTTCTCTTGCCATTGAAAGGGGCAAAGAGCCAAGGCAGAAATCTGAAATAAAATTTCAAGTTTTGTGTAAGGGTGAGAGTTAGCAATGGAGAGGGAATTTGGGAGAGAGAGAGAGAGAGAGAGGGGAACGGGTATGGGAGACTAGGCCAACAGCAATACTGAAGAGATAGGAGATTTCTTTCCAATCTTAAGACTTGATCATTGGGAAGAAATAAGGATGTATATTATATGGGTATTTGAAATTTCGGCCCAAAGAATTAAAGAGGATTTGAACTATTTCCAAGGGGTTCATTGGGTTTTTGGAAATAATTCAAATGGGGCAATTTAATGGAGCCGGCGGCATGTATGGCCAAGGAGGGAGTTAATGAGGGCAATTAAAGTTTCCTAACTTAGGTTTTGAATTTATGAAAGGTTTATTTTAAAACCAATTGAAATTTTAATTTCAAATTAGATTCAAATAGAAACTTTCCTAAAATAGGTGAATTATTTTAGGAAGGATTTTGAAATTCAAATTCAAAAGATTGAAATTCAAATTATCCCAAATCAACTCACACCCCATTAGGAAACCAAGAGGGAGTAGGGGATTGGATGAGGCCGGCGGCTAAGGCCTATGGCCGGCGGTTTGGGCTCGGGTGGGAGCTTGGCCGTGGACTGGGAAGGGGGAATAGGGGTTCGGGTGAGGGATGTGAGGGGGGGGCGGGGCGGCTAGTTGGGGAGACTAGCTGAGGAAAGGAAACAAAGGGAAATAGAACCACGAACCCCACTTATCAAGGTTGGTGGGTATTGCGCAAATCTCCCTCTCCTAGGGAACTCTCTCCATTAGAACTCTCAAGTTCTCACAAAGCTCAAGCAAGCTGAAATTTCTCATCAATCATTCATTAATTTCATAAGATGAAAGAAGAGGCTATAAATAGCCCGATACAATGAATCAAGAAAATAAAAGACACTCTTGCCCTTTGGGCTCACATACGACACTTTCCATTAAAGAGGTACAACCGGAAACGACATAAAGACACTAATAAAATAAAATGCATGAATAGTAAAATAACATAAATGGCTCAAAAATACAAAGACTCGATCGTGTCCGTAGATCGGCGGCCACGTCTCTGATAAACCTTCCACGAGCTGATGTCCCCATCAGATATGCTATTTATATGCGGTATAGTTTATTCACTAACTAAAGAGCAGTTACTTACAGGCTTTCCCTGTCAGATGAAGAAGCGTTCCCATCAGCATTAATGCCAGCTTTGGCCAGACACGGAGCATGTAGCATACTTCCATTATCTGTGTTTAAATCTTTATGCTGAAAACAGAAGTGACATCAGTTATTCTATCCAGAAACTGCCATACAAGCAGTGAAGCTTTATATCTAAGGAATTCTCAATTTATGCATAAATGAAATAGTAGTGTACAGAAAGTTTTAGACACAGCTACTAGACATCTTGCATCGACAAAGGGAAATGAATTTACAGCTCGTTTCTTCTTTTTTTTCTACAAAATTTAATAATCATTTCCCCACAGTTAAAGAAAACAATCATATTCATATAGTACAGTTGTGAGATGACAATAAAAGATTTCAATCAGCACTCAACAAGAATTGCGGACTCATGAGGCTAGCTGGCCTTAAATGGTTGAGATAAGGTTGATAATTAGAATGATGACAAGTAGAGAAAAGACAAAAAAGAAATATTTCGAAGTGCTGTACTGTTTTAAAAAAGGAATACTGATATAGAATATGAACAGGATTGACTTGCTAAAGCTTCAAAACTAAAAAAAAAAAATAGGGCCCTTCAATTCATGGCAACCTGGTCAATCACAGATTCAATTTTCTCCTTCCAGATCCGAGCCTCCCAGCTTTTGAGCGCTGCCATCTGACACATGAAAATTATAAATTAAATTAACAAATAATCCAGTAAAATAAGAATGGTTGCAAGAAATAACAAGCAAAATGTATCAAAATAAATTAGTAAGAATAATTGAAAGCCTACAATAATAAAGGAAAAAATTTCCCATGAAACACTTCTATCCAACAACAACAAAATAAAAGCCTTTATCTCACTACGTCGGGTTGGCTTCATTAATCATTTTTGTCCATTATGTTCGATTAAGAGTCAAAATTTACTTTAAATCTAATAAAGAAATGTCATTTCTAATATTTTTCTAACAAAGTCCTTTTAGGTCTATCTCTACCTTTCTTAACATAAGCTAAATCTAATACATCTACTCTCCTAACCGGGTCATCGGAAGGCCCAACCGTTTTATGTGTCCAAACCATCTAAGGTGACTCTCTCTAATCTTATCTTCCACTAGAGTTATTACAACCTTTTCACGCATACGCGCGTTCCATATCATGTCTCTAAGAGTAAAGCCACTCATTCAAATGAGCATCCTCGTCTCTGCAACACTTAATTTAATATTACACTTCCCTTTTAATGGCCATCATTCTGCACCATAAAGTATTGCAGGTCTCACCACCATCTTATAGAATTTTCCCTTAAGTTTGAGGGGAATTTTTCTATCACACAACAAGCCCGATGCATTCCTCCACTTCAACCATCCAATTTGAATTCTACTAATAACATCCTCATTTGTTTTACCATCACTCTGAACAATAGACCGAAGATATATAAAACACATACTCTTATTAATGACTTGATCACTAAAAGTCGCAATTCCCCCGCTAGATCTATTACTACTAAAATTACACTCCATATATTCGGTTTTAGATCTACTCAAACAAAAATCTTTAGACTCTAAGGTTAACCTCCATAATTGAAGTTTACCTTCAACTCTTTCTCTCTAGTCTTATCAACAAGAAGAATATCATCAGCAAAAAGCATACACCAAGACACAACCTTTTGCAAATGTCTAGTCAGAACATCCATGACTAAAGCTAAAATATATAGGCTTAAGGCTGATCCTTAATGTAATCCAACTTAAATAGGAAAATACTTCGTTAATCCACCTTGTGTTCGAACAGAAGTAACAACTCCTACATACATATCCTTGATGACTTGAATATAAGCACTATGAACCCATTTCTTTTCTAGAACTCTCCATAATACTTCTCCTAGAATTTTACCATATGCTTCCTTTCAATCGATAAATATCACATGTAGATCCTCATTATTCTCTCTATACTTCTCTATCAAACCTCTCAATAAATGTATAGCTTCCATAGTAGACCTACCCGGCATGAATCCAAATGAAACACTTCTATCCAACAGGTAATAAAGAAAGAGTAGCACAACATGTATCAATATAATTATCAAAAACTACAAGGCAAATATCAGTCATTTTAGGGCAACAAGAAGGTTATCATATCATCATCACCAATAAGTAATGCAGCTTGGCAGGCCATTTGTGGGTGTTTTGTTTGGATATTTCCTTTTTTTCTTTATTTCATATTCCATACAAATTAATATTTGTTAAACTACATATCAGTTCATTTGAGACACCTTTCTTATTGCATTGCTCTTTAGACCGCAATTAAAATTCCATTTGGTTACTAAATTTCTACATTTTAAAAATTTGTAGTGGATAGCCACTTTACAACCAATTTCGCTAATATGTGGTAGCTTTAACAGACTTTTTATATATATATAATATCCACAGCAACTTTTAAAATACTTACTTTACCAACAACAACTTCACAATCATCTTTACAAAACAATACAATCATCCCAAATAAATCCTAAGTAAATCTAAATATCCACCATGGAACTCCTTGCATATTCATGTAACTAAAAAAATAAGTTTTCATGGAACTTCTTTGCCAAGAGGAATCATAAATATTGTAGAGTATGAAGTTCAAAATTGTCAACGCATTTCAATAATAGCATTTTCATAAATAGTACCCATAATCATCAAAGGCTAAATCAAATTGGGTTAACAAAAGATTATTTTGTTGTATGAAAAACACCAAGAACTTCAATAAGATTTCCTAGACATAAAGAGCAATGTATTAGTAGGTGAAAAGGTTTAATGATCGTGTAAATATGGAGCAAGTCAAAACTTTTTCAATTAACCAAACCATTATGAAAGATATGGTAGAGTTCGGTGAGCTAACTAAATGGGACTTCATGAATACGTTGCACAAAGGTCAAGGTCAAGTTAAACAAATTTTAAAACCACTTCAGCTCTTATCACTACTGAATAACAGAGATAGCCTACAAAACTGGATCACTATTTATGAAATTCACTTTTTATAGCATACTTTCATAAAGAATAATTGTAAGTTGGGACAAAAAGCCAATTAAAAAAAAACGAAGAGAACTAGAAAAAACAAAATATGATGCATGGCTTAACAAAATTAAGCATAACAGAATAATTCAGTAAAGAAGAATGACATATAATGATATAAACTACCAAAAGAAGAAAAATTTAAAAACCATGCAAATAAAAAGATAGATGCACACCATAATTCGATGATACTTGTCCTTTTTGTTGTACACACACAGTACATATACCGTCTGTCAAAGAAAAAAAAAACGTAAGCATGCATATGTAGTCGAAATGATAATCTGTAACATGGAACCATCATATGTATTCTGAAGTAGTGTCATTGATCAAAGAAAAAGAAGCTGAAGACCTAAAGTCTACATTAAATAATAATTAGCAACAGCAAAACATATAACCTTGGGAATCGAAACAAAAATAGAAGTTATAATTCTCAGTAAATTCAACCTGAAAAACCAAATCCGGAAAAGGCTAAAAAGTTGCTAAATACCCACAGATTTACTTCAGAAAGAAACATGTTACAATCTTGTATACTAGTAGGTATGCATGCAACATATATGATCCTACTGTAATTCATCAAGTCTAAATTGAGCAAGATACACTGGTTCTTTTAAGCACCATAGCCTTTATGAAATTTTGCAGGAAAAAAATGATAGAAAATTAGAATTGGTAAGAATTCATAATAATAAAATTAATAGTAATAATTATGGTGATGATAGTTATGTTTTGGTACAACATCTCCTCAAATCCATTCATCAACTTGGGTAGCCTTTAGGTGATATACTGTAGGATCCTTCAAAATGAGCTCCCAATGCTGGTTTTGTAAGGTTTATTTTAAAACATGAGAATTTTTTTTTTTTTTTAACATGAGAACTTAATAAGTTACATGTCATGATTATTCGACAAGTTTTACGCTAACTGTCGACTACCTAACACGACCCTCAATTTTTCTCATCCAGAACTTGGAACATAGTAATGAATTTTTTTTATTAAATTTAAATGAGAACTTTACTTGTAATATGACCCAATGGAGAAAAAAGATTTATGTAACCGACCAGCCCGACCCCACATAGTGGGATAAAAGCTTAATGTTGTTGTAGAACTTAAAAAATTACAAAATAGTACATGTAAGACTATGCTAGTTATTGGCTATTAATGTAACAATTGACATCAATATGTGCTACCAGATCCAAATTTTAAAACTCTAAAAAAAAGCTGAAAGTTTCCATCCTTTGATATGTTATACGCCTAGAGATTTGGTTATTCAAAGAAAAGAAAACACTTTCTTCAACAAAACCAGCCAAAGAAAGGAAAAAGCCCCTTCCTAAGGTCTCATCCCAGCTTTGTAACACCTAAAACATAACTTTTAAAGCATATGGTGCTCTCTTTTTAGTAACCAGATTAATTTAACATAGGAAAGATGTAATACTAAAAGAATGAGAAAATTAGGGTTGCCAATAAAGCTATAAATTCATGAACAACCCATGTTCAACCAAATAAAAAACCCATGTTCTACTCGTTCTTTAAGTAAGTGAGTTGAACACAATCATATATGTTGAGCACAAATTTTAAACGAGACGAATGTGAACAAAGACTATGTTCGACTGAGTTTGGCTCATGCAGAACATGAACAAATATTGAGCTCACTCAAGCTCGACTCATTTACAACCGCAGATTGAATTAAAATTTAAAAAAAAAAATGGTGTTACAATAGTTAGAATATAGATGCTAAAAATTATATTGTATATTGTAGTCACTTTCACTATGATTGAAGAATCCTCGTCATAAATCATTTTCACAAGTTAATTTCAACAGTATGTTAGGATTGCAAATTGCTTAAGGAATCAGCCAAAAAAAACATGAAACTGCAGCACTACCACCAAACAAGATGAAAGAAAAAACATACAAAAAACAGTTACTGCTTGAAATTGATAAGCAAAAGATGCCCGAATCTTACATGTCCACGGTAAATCTTACGTCCTCTATCCTCCACCCTGCAATTCTCATCTATGAAAAGGGTTTTTTTAGGAACCTGCATATGTCAAATATAAAATCAAGCAAATATCAGAAGCCAAATAAACCGTTTTTTGAATGAACATCAATAGAATTCAATTCAATAATAGTCAAGGCATGACTCTAGTTATGAACAACTTCAATGCGATTGCAGCTCCAACAATCCGGCAGTCAAAGGCTCCAGTGAGTGGCACAAGTCCAGAAAAAGATAACGAAATTTTCCTAAATAAAAGATGGACACATACCTTATTACCCAGGGGCTTCCTCTTGTAACAAGCAAGAACCCTATTCTCGAGTACAAAGTACAGCATGGGGATGGAAGAAAGGTTCTGCAAGAAGTCCATAGGAGAAAGGCATACTAAAAACGGAAAAAAAAACATGTGGATGAACGAAATTCCGGTCTTCCTCCGACCGATGATGTGACCAATGCGCAGCATCCATCCCTCGTATACTACTCCCGACATTCTTCTTCCTACTCGCCCGATCCAGAATTTCTTCAAGCAACAGCTTCCCCTCTCCTTCACCTCACAATCTCAAAAGATACAGAAGCAGAGCTAGAACCTGTGGTCAAAACAGTATCGAAAAAAGGATCAAAAAATGCTCCTGGCTTCGATAGTTGCAAACCACAGCGCCGAATCAGGGAAAAGCCATCGCACGGAGTACGACAGAGGGTTCGGACGAGCTAACTAAAAGAAATAGATAAAGATAAAAGACCGAAAGAATACGAGTAGCTCCTTGTCGATTTCTTCTCTGGGTGCCAGCGTTCACTGAGCAGGGGCGAGAAGAAGGGAAAGAGGGATGCTTCTTGTTTTCCAAGTCAGGAGTCAAGATATAAAATCAAGTAATTTTTGGGGTTATTTAATTGGATTACACAATGGTGTAAATTATTCTAAATGCAGGAGTTTTAAAATTTTAATTTTTAGTTCAATGAAAAAGGAATAAAAGTTAAAGTAAAGTAGATGTACTACATGTCATTCTAGTTCTTTATTGAAATAAATGAAATTGCTCAATTTTGAGAGAAAATGGTTTACATTATTGACATCGCCGCTGGGCATCATTAAGATTGGATTAATAAAATACAAGAGCAAAAATTATTTATCAGAAGATCTTTATTGGATTTCATAGTTATCTAATCAAAAGAAAGTAAATCAATAATATTCTAGATCTTAGTGTCCTCATGTTATCATAATGGGACTTATACCAATTTCAACCCAATGTGTTTAACTAAAAAAGTTAGAAGGCAAAAACTTATAGAACTAAATAGGAGATGAACTTAGCACAACTTGAAAAAATTTATTGAAGAGTTGAACTTAACACTCATAACAATAGAATGATATCTCCTTATATAGAGAGAAGGCACTCGAAATTCATAAAACAAATTTGAAGTCTAGGGAGACGACATATTCTCATGCACATTAATAATTATATGCACTAAGAAAAAGTAAAGGCAACTTTAAATAAAAAAAGTACAAATTTTTAGTAATGTAAAAGTAATGCACGGTAACGTGAGCGTCACTAGAAGGATTCTTCTTCAATTATAATTTTTTATTTTCCTTTGATTTTGAAACATTGTTCCAATGATTTGTCGCAAAAAAGGTAAAGGAAAAACTTATAAAAGAGAGAGATTACAGAACTAAGCAGGAGACAAACTTGGCACAACTTCTTAAATTTTATTAAAGAATCGAACTTAACACTCATTACAATAAAATGATGTATCCTTATATAGAGAGAAGGCACTCGTAATTTCATAAAACAAATTTGAAGTCTGATGAGACAACATATTCGCACGCACATTAACAATTCAAAGCACTAAGAAAAAGAAAAGTTAGTACCACAACATTAAAAAAGAAAAGTAAAAAAAGTATAAATTTCAAGTAAAGTAAAAGTAATGTGTTTTAAAGAGAGTGCCACTAGAAAGATTTTTCTTCTTCAATTCTTTTTTTTTTTTTCTCATTTGATTTTGAAACATTGTCCCACTGATCTGACAGCTCATAATGGCTTCCTTCAAATTCACTTGATTGGGACATTTTATATTATGTTTGGAACAACTTCTCCATTTTGGTGTTCATATTATATCTTTAATCAAATTTTAATTTCATCAGCAAATTCGTTGGGGAATTTGCGCCTTAATGTGGCATGAATGCTTTAGAGTGAGAATTCTTCTTGTTTTTGAACCATCCTAGCTAAATATTGATTATTCTTAATAATTTTTTGGATATGTTTCAATTCATCTTCAATGATAATTGCTAACCTTCATTTGATGAAAAGTTTTTTAACAAACATTTGCAATTGATAGTATATGGTCTAATTTCAAAATTCCAATATCAAATCCATGGCATTTGTGCTTGGGTGAAGAAAAAAAATTGTTTATGCCTTCAATTAATCTGGCTAATTCAATTTTTTATAAGTTTGGTGATGAGTCCACTCATTCAGAGTAAATTTGATTAATTTGATTAGGGAGAATTATTGATTAGGCTCTCATATAGTCCCACCAGCAGAAAAATCAATCAAGGGTTGGATTAGTAAAGATATCAAAATGGAGAATAAACATCCAAGAATGTTTGTCTCAGATTAATAATATATAAGTCGTTTTTCGTAGCCTCGACAAAAGTCTAATAATTAAAGAGAATGTTCTCTTTTGTTGATTATGCTTATTGACATAATCCATAGATTTAGTTTGATAAGGGGTGATACCACAATTCTTATAACTAAGGATTTTAATAATATTGGCTTTGTTATAAGAAATATTTTGCTTTCAACAAATTCATGACTAGTTTCTTTACATTGGAGATGAATTAAATTTGACTCTCAAAGATCTCAGTCAAAAAATGAGGATTGGATGAAAGAGGTATTTCCCAAATAGTGTTCCATCATAGTTTATGGAGATTGAATATCATAATCTTCAAAACTGATTTCAAATAATAATTCAAAAATATTTTTAAAATGAGCTCAAAGAGCAGAGCTTGAGGAGCCTCATCAGACTGATTAAATTCAAGATTTGAATTTTTTTTTTTTTGTGCATATTGGCCCCAAAGAGGTAAGATTTAAGAGGAAACGCTTTTGAAAAGAAGGATTCACACTTCCTCTACCACGGGAGGAAAATTCTCCGCGAGAAAAATGTTATGATTTTTAGGAGACAGCGTCAATTAGGGTGAGACATGGTGTCTCGATTGGGTTGAGGCAAATTGCCCTGATTATTAAAGGTGATCTATTCTTGATCGTCTAAAATATCACTGTAAATATTTACAAGTTAAGAAGTCCATCAAATTATTTAAATTGCCTTTAATATATTTGATGTTAAAATAAAAAATAAATAACTGAACTAGCCAATGAGTAAATATATGGTTAGTAGCAGGTTTTTAGTATTTTTTTTTCAATAATAAACTTTGTTGTACTATAGTCAATGCGTAAAAGGAAAGCAAAGTTTATTAAATCTTCTTAAATTTTCATAATTAATTTAACTATAGCTAACATTTTCTTTTTAATTATGGAATATTTAAATTGAGTAGAATTTCATTTACATGATGTAAACCTTACTAGTTCTACCTTTTGAGAGGAAGGATTTTGTCGTTTGAGAAAGCCTTCAAGGTTGATGCAACTGTTTCAATGATTTTAAAATTAGAGGGATTTGCAAGATTATTACAATGAAGATTTTTTACATGTTTTCTTTATTATTATTTGGACTACCTTGGTTTAAATGTTAGTCCAAGGAGGAGAATTCTTAAAGATTAGCAGATTTGTCTAATTCTAGATTGGTAACATGATTAGACAAATCAATTTGTTCATCCTTGAGAAGGCGAACTTCATCTTAAAGATGATTGATTTTGAGTATAAGATTAGTAATGGAAGTTTTACTGGATTGAGCTTTAGCTTTAGAGCTCATTCTTTGTAAACTTCTTTCATAAAGTAGATGGGATAATCATGAGTAGGAGAGAGGGATTTCTCTCTCTTCTCCTAAAATACAAATAATCTTATCTCGAGCTTTAGGATTCGAGACTTGACTAAGAATTTTGATAATATGATCGTTTTCATCATCCGTGAGAGTATAAAGCACAGACATTTCAATAAGCATGGTGGGGTAATTATCTCAGAGATCACCAATGTGTGGCCTCCAAAAATTTCTTTTTTAAATTGTGTGATCCCGGTCTCTCTGTACCATCGGTCTATTTTTCTTTTGAGTATTTGTGTGACGATGACGACAAAGAGTTTTACGAGATTAGGTTCCGGGGGAATTTTCAGAAGGCAAATTGGATTTTAGATAAGACACTACCTAGAGATTTCACCCTCATTTTGTGATGATTTTTTTTATCTGAGTTCTGATTTCCTATAGGCGCAAGCCCCTATAGTTAATTACCCCTCCTAATAACAGGAGAGAACTTTCGATTAAGGCTAGTTATTAAAGGGGTCGAATAGGTTATAAACATATCGTATAATAGCAATAGTTTCAGGGTTTTGAATTTGATCTTATGATTTAGATTTTTTAAATTTGAATTTTAGAGTTTAACACCATAAACTTAAAACTTGTGGTGGTGGGGATGAAGACGAGCCCGATCAAGATCCCATGGTTCCGTCGTCCCGAGTTGTCATGATCTCTGGTCTACTTAGTCAGAGGAGGTAGTTGACCCAACCTGATAGAAGGCACCTTATCGGCAGTCATGGGTTGCTTCGTCCAAGAATATCTTGTAGACCTGGGTTGATATTTGTCTAAGGGGATATATTTGAATCCACCTTAGCTGACAGAGGGCTTTATGTCTATCGAACATACCCTATGATCCATCGCTCAAGGGTTTGAAGCCTTTAGGGAACATACGGGCTTTGGCCGTGATCGTATAATGGTACCATTTTGCGGCAAAATCACCCGATCAGAGGGCACGTGCCACGTTCATGTTGGTAAAAGAATGTTTGAGGATGAATCATAGTGATACACCCGATATGCATTCGCTCTTTATGAGCTGAGGTTAATTTCAAATTTATCATCCCCGACAAATGGTTGCGAGGTGGATGATTTTAATTTTAAATTTTTAGGTGATATATTTCATTTCAAAATTTGAATTGTTGTTTGATTTGAGATTTGACCCCCTCCGGTTGAGATTTTCAATCAACACGGCCATCATCGGGGTGACGATTAAGGTCACATGTATTTTTATAGGATTTTGGGAGATATTTTGTTATTTCAAGTTATGTCAACTCCAGTCCTTTCAAGGAGGAGGATGAAACTTGAATATTTAGCCCGCGCAGCATTCTCAAATCGCTAGATTTGGGACTTAGATGTAACGATTGGAGCACATGCGGGTTGTAGCATTTGACCCTGCGCAGCATTCTCAGTCATTAGTGTTTATATTTTTAACATGTTGATCGGAGCACATGCAGGGTTTTTTAGTTTAAAGGATCATATTTAATACATAAGAGGCATTCTAAAAATATTTAAATATGATCCGTTATGTGAGAGTGGTTTTATTTAAGAAATGCCCAAATTTTTATTGAAGGGCTTGTGAACGCCTTCTATCCGCTTGCACACATATTACGGATTCGGTGGCGTACTCTAAATTAGGTATCATTTGTAACACATAGTATACATCCTTCTGTCGTTATTATCCCATTCAACATTGTTTACAGAGAATGATTATTCAATAAATATTAGAATATCGTGCCAATATTCGTAGGAGAATTATCTTGCTTGTTATAAGTTCTCATATTCTCTCCCATAAGTAAACTGATTTATTTGATACAAGCTCTTTATTCTTGCTTGCAAACTAGTTGTTGTGGGCACTACGAATTCCCTATTCTTTTTCATAGGTGAATTGTAGCATTATCTAAAATTTAGATTTAAGG